TGTTTAGCTGATCAATAGATCGTACTCGTCGAATGCCTCGTTTCGCTTAATTCGTAGCTTACTAAAGACGAGATGACGACGATTCGTAAACTATGAACATTAGTAACGATTCCAAACTTTTAAGCATAGAAAGTCGATTTGCTCTTTTTATCGACAGTACAAATTGATAGCGATGCCGAAGAATTTGGCACGAACTTTGTTTCCCTTTATCGTAGGTCGTTCGAATTTCCTTCGAACGAGAAAGTAACGACGAACGTGTAAACATTGACGCACGCACGTTGATTAGCGTTTAACACGATCGTGTCGCCGTTATGTCACACACGCGGTTCGATACGACGAGTATTGTTTACAAGAAGCGTACTTCGTTCCGTTTTCACTTCTATTCCACCGCTCGGGACGGATGGCACGAGGCTGGCTACTTTCGACTAGTTTCGAGGTTTCACTTCTTCAAACACTGTCCAACGTTTATCGGCGGCTACGAGAGAATTATAGTTGTTGAAAACCTGAGACGAGAAAGGAGTAGCCTTTTTATTTATCGCTGCTTTATAGCTGGTTATAGTTTTTCCTTGTTATACTTCTTCGTTAGCACAGTTCTAGATCGAACTGTAAGTTATTATCGAATTTCTTTAAAAAGAAAACAGAGTCTATAACCACATAGTTGAATATTTTATTTTTAACCAACTAATCAGGATCTGCAGGAGCTTGTCGTTTTATTCCATTATCGAGTAATACGTATTTACGAACTTCGGAGTGGATTTTACGTAATGAATTTCGTCGTAATTGCTTGTTTTGTATAAAATAATAATAATTAGAAGTATCCGATGATATTGCGAAACTGTTTGAATGAAATTTTCGCTAACGACTCTGTTTTACTTTCACCGAGTCAAACTCGTTTTCCAACGTCGTTTTCCCCGTAACATATTCATTTCCATCGCGAACGTAACGTAACTTTTGCTTCTCGATATTCAAGCTTACTTTAGTTTATCGAACGTAGTATACGTATATCGTTCGTACGATCGTTTTCACCACTCCGATTACTTCGATTAAAAAAATACGTTGGCGATTATGAAATTGAATCTAAAATCAAGTTTAATCGCGACGAGCTTTTCGATCGATGGGAAATTTTACAGATTACGCGAATGGATTTAATGAGATTCCTTAATGAAAGATTAAATAGTGATCAACTTTAATCTGTTAGAAACAACAGGTCGCCCGCTTGCTAATTACAGTTATAATTAATTTACCAACATAGCCAACAAAAGCTCTTACTTCAACTTTAGCAATATTCGTTGAAATTTATTAGCATCTTGAGAAACTGTGTTCCAATGCTCGTTGTATTTCTGTACACACATCAGGAGCAATTTTCTCTCATATTTTAATCTCACCTGTAATATTATTTTCTAGCGCCATGTCGATAGTTATCGCTAATAAGTAATGTGGCGCACGTTTTGTTCACCTTATTAGACTGAATTTCCATCGCGTTTCACTTTCTTCGCCATACATAATCACGATACTATATCGATAGACCGCTTTCGGAGGCGGATAAAGTACGCACATACATATAAAACGAACCGACGCACGAGACTTCAATAAGCAACCAGAACCTGTCTATCGGCTCTAACGATTGTTTGCCAATCGACTTCCGTGTAATCGGTCGGTTAGTTGTTACGCATGCCTTGGGCCACCTAACGATTACCAACATTCTTGCTTTCTCCTGTTCCTCCTACCATTTTTTCCACATCAGATACCATTATTCTGACGGCAATCGATTATAAATTAATCAATTAAGAGCGACTGTCTCATCGTGTTCGATATTTCTAACAAGATGTTCATTTTTCCACCAGTTGTTTCAGCGTCTTACAATGTCTTAATTTCTCGTAAACGCGATAATAAAAGGGCTATAATATTCGACATTCGTAAACATCTCGAATAAAAGGCTTCGAAAGATACGATAAATATTTTGCGAGCGATATTACTATCGAGTAGTGGCATCTAAAATTTTCAAACAACACGTGTTTCGGCATTTCCAACCGCTGATAATTCCAATTCAAATTTCCCTCCTTATCGACCTATCCGTTATCGTATCACGTTCGCTTCTGTAGGAAATTTAAAAGGGGCAGCAGGTTACGGATTTTTTAAATTTCGCGCCATCATGACATTGGCTCGCTGGTAAAATCTTTACGATGTTCTATGCGTTTATTAAGCATAAACATAACGTTCTCGCAACGTTGTTCTAAACGTTGTTCTAAACGTTGTTCTAAAGTATCAGAACATTGGTTGCAGCGTTCGTTATTTTATCAATTATCCGGTGTAATAAACTTCGAATCAATAGCAACGCTTACGCTATTCGTTCGGCTATCTTCGTAAATTCTTCGGAGATCGCCGAACCAGTTCGGACGAGGACGATGCTAAAAACATCGAGCCTGAAGAACGTAGTAAACAGACGCGATTAACCTCGATGAAAACGTACGGTCGCTGGTACAACCGTAGGCAAGGCCATTTTTTCAGTGAATCAGGCAGTTCTAGTACAGACAACAACGGACTTGCTCTACCGCTATGGCGTTCCTCGCGAGAATCGTTAAGTGCGAGGTACGTTTAGCATTTATAATATTTTCGCTCGACTTTTACACCTTATTACTGACATATCTTATTAGAGAATTTTAGTTGGATAAGTTCGTTGAATTTAGTTCGATAAAAACGAATAAATGCTTGCTACAATTTTCGATTCGATAAACACATTCTGCGTTTAGATCTCATTTGGTTTACGTTATCATTCGCATCGATATATTTATACGATCTTATACTATACGATTGTACATATCTGTATGATTGTATGGAAATTTCTTCAGATGTAAGGTTAGAAACAAAGTATTTGAAATAGTTGAATGGTTCGAGCAATTTTTTATAGGATTTCAATTGAATTTTAAAGCGAATATACAGTTATATCCGGTTAAATTGTTTCAAGAGAAAATAAAATTTTATTCTCAGAATGTAACGACGTGGAAAATTGTAAACTTATTTAACTAAGTTTATGTCTATCTGTATTACGTTCAATTCTCCTTATGTATTATAAAACGATTAAATGACAAATATTAAGATGTTAAGTATGCGTATATATTTAACAAGTTTCCATTAGTATAACTCAAACATTGACGAAATACCCCGGAATATTCGGTTAGATGAAGAATTTCGAACTATCGTGGAATATTCTTCTCGTGATAATGCCGCGCGTTATCGACAAACATATTATCGCTGTAAATATTCAACTGTACATACGTCATTTGTATAGTAAAAGTACCATAATTCATCGCGATATATCCATTCCTATCGTGAATCACACATACTTTACATCGTCTTGTATTATTTCTGTAAACAGTGATCATGTTACGTTATTATCCCTACTATGTACTGTTATTCGTAGATGTTATCGGTATATGCGTTGCCTCATCATTAAATAATACCAATGTTCCCTTACACAAAATGCTACGTGAAATACAAATTTTTGATTTATACGTTAGTTAACACTTGATTGGGTATAGAATGTACGCACATACTTTACTTGTAATATCAAATACGTACAGGGTGGTCTACGCAAGTAAATACGCAAGTAGTTACAAATGTAACTACCTCGATTTAAAGTCATCTCTTCGATCAAAAATTACCTCGATTAAAAATTTTGTCGGAATACTCGTATCGTTCTGTAATACTCTTACACAAAGTCGGTGTCGTTGAAAAGGGACTACGCGTCTTCGCTGCAATTGACTTGGATTACGAAGCTAGAATCATCGGTGCTAATAACGCTAGTCGAGAGCAATACAACCATCGATCTAGTGTAATAGAGTTTGCATACTTTACGTAACTGGGAACGAACCGATTTGCCTGTGAGAAGAGTACCGTGTCAAAGCGATTCTTATCGCGTGTGGAGCAAACAATCGCTCCCGATGGATTTCGTTTCTTATCGAGGTCATGCTCGCTCGGAGAAGCAGGCCAATTGGATGAATTTATTCCGATGCTGTATTTAAGCTTTTTCGAGCAAGAAACATACGGGTCTCCGTGGAAGTGATACGTTTGCGCGTTATCTGACAGATAGAATTGGACTATCGATCAGGGACTCGAGATTACTTTACAGTGAACTAACGTTGATTCGCTCGTTTACGATTCGCTGATTCGAATAGGGTTGATACGAAATACGAAGTACAGGCTATGCAAAAAGTATTAGAGCGTTTTATAACTTTTCTCGTTTTTTCATCGAAAGATCGTCAATTGTAAACTGATATGAAATTACAGGAATGTATTCTCCATTGCTTTTTTTCTATCATTCCTTCCTATCTCTACGTGACGAAGGGTGGCAAAACTTGCAATCTAAAAATTTTTTCAAAAAAAAAAGGGTGAAATTATTTTGTTATTTCATCATTTTTTCCCGCGGTAACATTGAACGTTAAGTCATCGTATTTCGATTCTAAATATTTTAGTTCAATATTTATCATTTCCTTTGCCTTATTTAACTGCTGCATTATAATCTTAAACAATTGTAATTGTAAATGAATGAGAAGCAAAGGTCATGAATTTAAATACTTTACAATTGAAAATCATTTTCGACAATTCCAATACCTTATTATAATACTTAATTTCTGTAGCGAAACGTCTTTAGAAACATACGTGGACTTATTGTCGTAGAATTTGACCGAATAACGTAATATCGAAACAAGGATTGTTTAACATTAACCGAATGATCTTTTAGGCGCAATTTGTCGCAAGGACTTACAGCAGTAGCGTACCAACGGTTAAGATGTACATTGATGGCCAATTCGTAGGTAATTATTTTATGGTATTAAAAATTTACGTGCCGATTTTCACGAATGTCGTATCTCAGTGTCGCTTGTCGTTGCAAATTTTTCAGAGTTATACGAAAGAAAAAGTTCTTAGTCCAAGAGGGTACGGATTATAAAAAAAAACGCAAGAGTATTAAATCCCGATTGAATAGACATTTTGAGATTACAAGTTCAATAGGAAATAACGTTACTTAGCCGTATTTAATGCATCCGTTGAAGCACTGAAACGCGTGTTTACTTGGTTGAATTGGTTCATTCATGATTCAATTGCCAGAAAGTAAGACAGCTAAGACTGGCATTATCGAGATCGAGACGTGCAATCTTGATGAAACAGATACTTGATCTTCGAAGCGCTCTTGAACCTATTTTTTCGTACGATACAGCTCGTTATGAATATTTAAAGCGTGCTTCTAAAGGCATTTAATCGAAGCTCGTGGTCCATGAATACTGCTGGAGCACTCGTTGAAGCTGTACAGAAAAGGCGCTATATTCCGAGGCGAATTCGATTCTAAGAATTGCTTCAACGAGGAACGTTTACGAATGACATAAATAGCACCGATTATAAAGAAGGCATCAAAGTTAAATGGAATAATTATGCTTCGAGTAAAAGTGGCATGGGAAAAGTTCGAAAAAACGCGTCACGTCCGTTTCAGAAGCGGTGCATATTTTCGTAAACTTTCTCAACGCGCTATACTTGAAAAAATCTAAAATTAAATGTCGACAAATCGATATTATTTTGCTTGATCGAGTCGTAAGGAGGTTTCGATCTGTTTCAGAATCGAAGGCCACAGAGTTCACCGACGTTCATGATCCAGCGACGAACGAGCTGTTATGTCGCACGCCAAAGTGCACGAAAGAGGAAATGGAGACAGCCGTGAAAAGTGCGAAGGGAGCGTATGAGAAATGGAAAAATACCAGTGTATTAACTAGACAAACGCTGATGCTTAAATATCAAACTCTCATACGCGAACATTCGGTAAGTTTATTCGTATTTCAACTTTATTTCGTAGGCGCGAACAAATGGGTTGGTCAAGATCCTATAATTTATTACAAATCAGAATTTAACGCGTTCCGCTGATATTTTTTCATATTTATACGAGAAATGTTTATACGAAGAATAGTATTTATAATAGAAATATTGATATCTTCCCTAGAAAGAAATCGCAGAGAACATGGTAAAGGAAAATGGGAAAACAATGGCTGATGCTGAAGGCGACGTTCTTCGAGGACTTCGTGAGTTTTCTTGAAAAATGTATTATATCATAGTCCTGATAAATATTTCGATCTTTTATCGAACTGCCTACACGCGTATACGCGAACAACGTAAATTCGTTCTGAAATTTTCGATCAATACGCATACACGCATACGCGGACGAAGCAATCTATCGTAATTACATTCCGCGTGTCCTGCCCGCCCCATAAACGTAATCGCATCATCGTACAAGCGACAGATCATACGCCTGGTGTTGATTTATGTTACAGAGGTCGTCGACGCGTGTACCGCAATTCCTTGCCTGCAAATGGGCGAGAGCACGCCAAACATCGCCACAGATATGGATATCATTTCCTACAAAGTTCCCCTTGGCGTAACTGCCTCCATCTGTCCGTTCAATTTCCCCGCGATGATACCTCTTTGGTCGTTTCCGGTCTCGGTCGCCTGTGGAAACGCCACGATTCTCAAACCGTCCGAGCGTGTACCAGGAGCTTCGATGATCCTGGCTGATCTATTCACCAGAGCCGGTGCTCCACCAGGATTGTTGAACGTTATCCACGGTCAACACGCCGCTGTCGATTTCATCTGCGAGCATCCCGATATCAAAGCAGTTTCTTTCGTTGGTTCCGATCAAGCGGTACGTTGTTATCGATCGTTGCTTTGTGAGCGTTCGTTGCACCGGGATAACGTTCCCTCTATGTAAAATTGTTGATTCTATACGCCATCGATAATATCAAATCGTAATAACTGACAAGCATATTGCATGCATTTTGCAAGTGAATCGAGATTAATCTATTCCTCTGCCTCTCCCATTTATATCGTTATTTTCTTTCGTTAAGAGGAAAATAATGGAAGAACTCGTAAATACACGAAACGATACCGAACGAACGATCTCGACAAATCGACGTGTCTAATTTCTAAGAAACCGTTCGCAGCTAAAATATGCGTGTACGATAAGTATGTCTGATTTTACAGGGAAAATACATTTACAGACAGAGCAGCGCGCATGGAAAACGCGTGCAGTGCAACATGGGTGCGAAGAATCATTGCGTGGTGCTGCCAGATGCGAATAAGAATAAAACCCTTTCTCAAATCGTGGGTGCTGCTTTCGGGGCTGCCGGCCAACGATGCATGGCGCTTTCTGTGGCAATATTCGTGGGTAAATCGAAGGATTGGGTGACAGAATTGGTGGAAGCCGCAAAGAAATTAAAGGTGAATGCGGGACACGTACCTGGAACCGATCTCGGACCCGTTATATCTCCGCGATCTAAGAAGAGGATATGCGATCTGATCGAGACAGGGGTGAAAGATGGTGCCACGTTGGCTCTCGACGGCAGAGGTCTCGTTGTCAGTGGTTTCGAAAAGGGAAATTTCGTTGGACCAACCGTATTGACAAACGTGAAGGTGGTACACCTATGATATACAATCGTGTTATGAAAACGCGAATGACGATCGATGCCTTCGATGATGATGCAGGAAATTCGTGTTACCGTAAGGTTACCATCGATCGATGTAGAAAGAGAGAAGCAAACTTTTCTTAAAGAGCTATCGATTTTGATGTCACGTTTCATACGGTAATTTAAAATTGCGTATAATTTAGATCGCGGTAGCTTCTTCGTAATTCCTGTGCATCATTGATCGCAGCGCTTTAAGTGCTTTGATTTATGTTAGATCGCATAATACGTTTCAGACCTCGATGCAATGTTACACGGAGGAAATCTTTGGGCCCGTTCTTTCGTGTATTTTCGCTGATACTTTGGACGAAGCTATCGACATTATTAACAAATGTCCTTATGGAAATGGAACTGCTGTGTTTACGTCAAACGGTGCAACGGCTAGAGCATTTGTAAATAGAATAGAGGCTGGTCAGGTTGGCGTAAACGTTCCTATTCCAGTGCCGCTGCCCATGTTTAGTTTCACCGGAAACAAGGGATCTTTCTTAGGCGACAATCATTTTTACGGAAAGCACGTAAGTAACGTCACACAAACTACTATCGTACCTTTTCTATGAACTTTGAAAATATTCGTCGAATGCACGTGTCATATTTTTCTAGGGTATAAATTTCCACACGCAAGTAAAAACGATAACGCAGCTGTGGAGATCCGGAGACGCTGGTGATATCGCATCCTCGACGGCTATGCCAACCATGCAGTAAACTAAATGTTCCTCGATTACAGTGATACAAAGCGTTACAGTTGGAAATCTTTCTGTATACTCCATACGAAATTTTATAAACAGATGAAATTTCTGTTTTAAAAAAGATGACTTTCCAATACTACTGTAACGTACAATGTCTTCCATTAGTCCGAAATAACTTACTGTCGGATAAATCGAAAGAAATACGCTTCCTATTGTGTTTACTATGTTTGTTTATATTTTGTAACAAAATAATAAAATACCACCGATGAAATTTTGTATTCTATATTCTTTAGAAGAACATGTACGTTTATAAAATAACGTAAATTTTTGTACTATTTTTTTAGTAATCTTCCGTTCTCCGATAGTTCTGAAAAATGTAACTATGTATCCGCAAATATAACTATACCTTTCTTGTTATTTAATTCGACCCTACTGTTTCAAATTGATCCTAGCGGAAAAGCAATTCCTCCGACACCGATACGTCGGATTATCCCCCGCGCTCCTACGAACACCACCGCCACCACCACCACCACCAACCGGTAAATAAAGATAAGAAAGGTCTCTATCCAAAATCCAAGATCGAAGACAAACGATTCATCGCTGGATGTATGTAACGAAAGAAGTTCAAGGTCGATGCGTCCTCCAACGTCCTTGAACCGAAGCTAGTTGCTCGCATCCTCGTCGATCGTCGACGCGACGGCCGAAAACATTGAAACAGTGACGGTCTTCCGGATGTTGGCTGTGACGTGTGCGCACTGCGCAGCCGCGTCAGCACCCCCTGGCCAGGCGCATCTGCGCATTTTCCAACAAAATTTCTCTCACAGGCGAGGTTCTGCCCGTCCCGGATCGTCGCGTTCGTTCCGACGGAGCAGGCTGCCGGAAGTCGAAACGGAGAAAACCAACCCCTTCGATTGTTCACATATCGTGAGTATTTGCACGTCTTCGTTCGTTCTTCTCCGCTCTCTATTCAACGATATTTACGCGCTGCACGATCTTCTTGCTCATCCAATGGACGACGTTCCTCGAATCTTGCCATTTGTTTGCAAAGGAATAGCGCCTCGTTAAGATTGTCGTCGGTTCGTTTGTTTTCATCGACGTCGTCGCCTTTGTTCCGCTACTCGTTAACTTTTCGCGAAAGTCGTTGCCCCGTTCCGGTACCAAAGAACAGTTTATTCATTTTGGAAAAATTTGATTTCGATTCTCGACCGAAGGTCTTTTTATTTGTCCCTTTCTCGTCCCTTTTCTGTCCGTTTGTTCTTTTTCTTTGTCCCTTTCGATCGCATTAAGAGAATTCGGCGGTATTAACCTTCTTACGTGAGCGACCGATGCGAGGCTGCCTGAGGATTTAATATTTGCCGTGGAAAATCGCGAATCGATTCCTCCCGGCGGAAGACATCGACGTCTGTTGTCCTTTCTTTTCTCTAGCCACGCTCGATAATCCCTTGGGAATTTTCGAAAAATATGGGTCGTTGTTGCTATTGAAGTATAACCATTACAACGGAGAATTGAAATTTTGCATTTTAATATCTTATATTTTTACAAATATTTAAATCATTTACGATAGCGTTATTTTGCATCTCACTTTATATCCATCGTTCGATATTATCCGTCTTAAAGAATCGGTTTCGTTGTTTGTTTGGTGCTTCAACCCTTACCCTTTATCCTTAGTGTTATCATACTTTTTTACCTTGTCGTGGAATTTAAAATTCGCCGAAGGATGCTTACACCGCTACAAAATTTTCTTACCTATTTTTTAAACGCGTCTCATTCAGCTTCAGATTAGTACGCAGTTTCCAGGCCTTTCCAAATAATACTTGAAATAATTAGTAGAAAAACTCGCCTTTAAAGCTTTTAAAAATTGGAGATGTTTTTACCTCTGATCTTTTTGTTTCTATCAACAATTTTTCGAAGAATCGATCAATGGGTATTTATGTAATTTCCAAGGGAATAAAAACGAAGTTTTAACGAAGGATGGAAAGAAACGTCTGCGTTTCTCTGTTTAAAAGATGATTTCTACCGAATGCAGTTGACGCATGGAAAATCGTCGCGGTTTCAACTCCGCTTTGTAGAACACGTTTATCTTTTACGGCCGTCAAATTTTATTTTTACATCGTCACCTGAATGCAAACTATTTCTTCTATGCAGATCGAGTGTCTGTTGCCTCGCTACGTCCTTGTTTAAGAAAACAGAGTTTCAACGGACGGTAAATTCTACGATGTGAACTGCTTCCAACAGGTCGCGTATCACGGTCACTTTGTCTTTAGACAGGCAAACCTACCTTCGTTTCATTAATATATAATAGAACAATATCGAAAGCGGGACGTTGCCTCTTCGAGTTCGTACAGGTGTGAAAATAAGCCGCTCGTCGTAATTCAAAATATTCGATTTAGAGATCGTAAAATCAGACACTGTAAAATTTCCTATTATATAAATTTTGTCAAGCAGTACGGAGATTCACAGGTCGATTGTTCCAACAGGTTTATCAATTATGTACAAAACCGTACGAAAAGGCGATGCCAGCCTGCAGTACACGATTCTACCGCAAACGGACCAGTTTTCGTCATCCGGGTTCCCTCAGACATCGGGCAAGGCGGGCTGGAGGGTCCTCAAGTACTCCATATGCACGTTGATGATTCTGTTCGTCGTGTCCTACGTGGCGGTAACTCTTTTCATGAACCAGAGCGACGAGCGGCTGTTCGCCAGTACGGTGCTGGCTATAGGCCGAGTTGGGCACAACTCGTCGAGGGCTAGAAACTCGTCGAGGAGTCAGGAGAAAGACATGGCGAACAAAAGCAAAAACAGGCTTCCAGTAACGACCACGGTTTCATCTACGGAAGCTTACAGGAAGCAGGATATCGAGGACGAGATGACTACGTTGTTAGAGGCGTCGAACGTAGATGAACAAGAGTCACAGGAGTTCACTACCACAGGTATCGAGTTCCTCGACGAAAGTTACGCGATAAAAATCAGTATGTCGAAAATTAACGCGATAACACACGTATTTGCGTTGATTTCTAATCGAATAACGATCAAGACGATAACAGTGTTTTTAATTTTAAAATGAATGAAATACCATTTCCGCGATATTACTCGATAGATGTACAAGATAGATATACGACAATTATGCTCCAAGCAAGTTCTTGTGTTTTATTTACATGTTGGTAAAATCTATTAAGCTATCCAGTTACAAAGTTTCAATTTCGGATCAATTTGGATTGACTGAGGCTGACTAATTTGACAACGTATTCCAAGCGCCAGTAACTTACGTTATCTTTCAATCGGCCTTCTGAAAGTTGCCCGAATGTTTTACTAGGGAACCTCGAGCCGTGGCAAGAAAGAAATTAACAGTAGCAACGATTTGATTTAACGAAGCAACGAATTTGGATTTAACTGTTTCTACCGCGTGACATTTATCGTTTTTATCGCGTCCACTGTTATCGATTTTCTTCGGTCGTTGTATTATAATATATACTCGGCTTTCCCTTCCATAAATCATCTTCCTGCTATTGCTAAATAACGAAATGTTCGATAATAAGCTGCTTTATGGGGAAATGAATGTTTATTAGTAAACTAATCGTTCATTGTTATTATCGACGAATACGATCCTCGTGTTTCCTGTATAGTTGATTGATTATCATTTACTCTGTCTAACCCTAATTGTAAATGGGTATTGGAAAAATACTATCCGATAAAACGTTATTCAAATGCCATCCAATATTCCATTGCCATGGCGATAAATTTTTTATTTTTCACCATCAAATACGCTACTTACTAAACTCGCTCAACGAAAGATCCAAAAATTGTAGCATCTGGTTTCCTTCTTTTTGGCATTTTCAAAGTCCGTTCGTGTGTCGTTATGTTTCCATAGAATTTAGAATTTCTCCGTAAGTACCAATCGTTGTCGTTTAAATATTTAAAATTGTTTAATTTTTACCAAAACCATTCTTTTTCGTCCGCTTTTTGTTCGCAGATTCCACAACGAGTAGCACGCAACGTTCGAAAACATCCACGGAATCGACGACGAGCGTCAAACAGACGTCCACGTCCACCACTACGTATATACTACCGACAACGTGGTCGACCGGTTTAAAAACGTTAACCAGCACCCCGAGTGAAGCGACCAAGATGACGTCGAGCGCGCCAACGAGGAAGGCAAAGATGCCAAGGGTGACCTTGAAGCTCAGAGAGAACGAAACGATACCACAAATGTACATGAAGGCTGGGATAGCGTCGTACAAAAAAGGAAACATCACTACGAGCGTCTTGGCACACGGCCTAAGCCTGGAAGGGTTGATCTTCAAGACGCCAGAGGGAACGATAAACCCCTGGACGCAAAAGTGGTTCTTCACCGATCCTTCCTCCGACTTTCAATGGAAGGTACAGTTGTCTCGGCAAGTAAGTTAACGAGTAATGACACGTGGAAAAGTACTGATTATTTCGAGTACGAGTGGGTCGAGCTGCATACTTTGCACGCTCGCTACTAGTTTCCGATACAGCTATCGAATACGGTCGCAAGTATCGCAAGCCGTCGCTTGTTTTCGACAGGATTATAGAATTAGCATTACGAAGAAATAGTATTAGAAAATTACTGACGAAAGGATATGAAACTGAATATGAATTTTGAAATTCTTAATAATATCGTATACGCGTAAAATGTATCAACGTGTCTTTTGTTACCAACACAGATACTATAAAATTGTTGGTAAATTATCGTTCAATGTCGCCGAATAACGCGAATTTCTACTAACACGTATTTGCGGTTTCTTATCTCTTGTAGACCGTACGACCTATTATATTCTCTCCGCTCCAAATAGTCGAGAACTTTGCTGCTGCGGGATTTACAAGCATTGGGTGAATGGCGGGCGATTACGTCGAAAAACCGCATGAACTCAATGGCTCGTTAACTTTCACACCGGTCTCTTGAAAAGGCCTTCGCTTTAACGTTCTCGCGTGGATTTTCATATTATTTATTCTTTCTGCGTTATATTTTCATTCTTGTTTCGACGTGTAACGATGGAAGAAGAATTCGTAATAAAGATTCGGTATCGAGTAGAAGAGAATCTCAGATAAGATTCCTCGAGATTTCGTGCGTATCGCTCTGAGAGACACAGGGCACAAGATGTGGCGTCGAATCGAATGGAAGATTGTAGGAGCATCTTTACGGGTCCCAAAGGTTAATTTATACTCCGTATAAGTATCGATCGCGCCGCAGCAAAGACATCCAAACCGAATGGCACCGGTGACGATCGATAGGACTTGTTGGAGAATCTAACAGCATGGTTCCTTTTATACGTATGTACTTCTTCCGCGGTTCCTCAGCTAGGCTGTCGTTATCTTTTCTTTTTCTCGCCGCGAGCCTACGGACTACTCTCGCCGTTCTCGTCTTTCTACTTATTTTCAACGTGGTTGGTTATATCTTATCTCTTATCTCTTAATTTCTTGCTCACCGAATACCGAGTACCGGCGTTCCTCTAGCCGCTACAGATTATTCGAACGAACCTTTTGTTGCGTGGTTTTTAAAAAAGAAAAACGGGGAATGGGAACGATCGTTATACGACAGTGCGTGGAAATTTCTAATAACGCACATTTCTAGCGGCTGCCTCGTTTTGTTCGAATATCCCTCAACGACGTAGGAATAATTAACACCATGGATGGAAATCGGTGCAAATAAACTGTAGCTCGTCTGAAATTAGTAGATGCAAATTGGTTATTGATAAAGCGGTGGTTTTGCATCGTAACACAATTTTATATTCGATATTAAGCGAATCGGTATCTAGCTACACCGAATCATGAAAAACCTGCTCTAAACCGATATATTTTCGATCGATTAATCGCCCATAACGTAATTGTATAAAAATATCGAATTTTATAAACTTTCATTTCTCATCAAATCTAATTTGAATTTTATTATCGGTCGTTACACCGTTCAAGTCCTCTCATATTTTAGTATGTTTATCGTGATTCGAGATGCAACAGACTATGGCCTTATGTAATTTTCATAAATCGCGCCAAACGCGGTTAACGCAGTGATAACGCGCACCTGTTTATCACAGCTTCCGGTTGAGGTAGCAGACACAAAGAAGCAAATCAGCTGTGCGCGAAATGAGACGGTTCATTAGCTCGTCGAGGTGTGGGAGGGGGAGGGGTTATTATATAACGCTTGCCTCTCTCAACTCTTAACAATGATGGAGGATCTGAACAGCTGAAACGATCTCGACGGGTAATCGTTTCTCTTTCTCTCCATTTACGTAACCAGCTGTCGCTTATTCCGATGTTTATGAATATTCTTTTCTTCTTTCACGGAGATATTCGTCTTGCGGAAGTAAGACTATTCTGTTGTACTTATTTACCTACTTGATATATTTCTATGCGTTACATTTCCAACATAGCGCGACGAAAGCTTCGTTTTAAAAGAAAAAGTGATTAAATTTACTTAAAAGTATGTATATCTATAATCTTCGTTAAGTAGAAAGTTTTTCATTGCAATAATCGCAATTTTTCCATCTATCCCTGACATTTTCCAATCGCATTGTACGTTCCGATGTAGAGCAGCGCTAATGACATTAAATATCAATATTCCGGTGTCGAAAACAGGTTTTCGCGGTTACACGTTCGCGGCGAAAGAAAGCTGTGAAAAATTAATCCCGAAGGAGTACGGTATTCGATTTCGCAGATTAAAATGAATTATATTCTGCGAGAAATGTATCTTCTTAAAGGGGACGTAGACGTTATTTAAATAGGAGATTATCCTGCATTTCGAGCGTTGGACGACCCTTGGAATCAGAATTTCAAACGCGTTATTCTCGTCACTCTTCGGAGCTAAAGATCTTCTTATGGGAACACGCGGAACCAATGTTCGATTTCAATGGAAATCCCATTGAATATCGATTTTCGACGAATAATTTCTGTTAAGAATACTCTTCGAGGCGAATAACAACGGGAAGAAAATCTAGTTTGATTATGTCCCTATGTAGAGGGAAGGTTCTTAGTTAAAATTATCGAATCCTTCGTGTAAAATCTGGCATCTCATCTGCTGACACGGATTCTCATTTTGAACAAACGGATAACGACATTCATATTCGGAACTATCTTTTTTCTTCGACAACTTCTCAAGCATGGAACGTGTATCGAGGAGTCGTCGATTTAATAGACACGAAGCTTAAAACCATTGTCATACCGAGTTAGTTAACTGGGTCAAAATTTCCGATATTGAGTTTCATGTCGTTCTGACGAATAAATTTAACGCGAAGTCATAGAAGTATTTGAACGAGTATCGTTCGCGAACACATGCGTCCATCTCTCGAGAACATCGTGTCCATTTAGTCGTTTAAACTTTATCGCGCAATCTTGGTTAACTAATTGCGATATTCCGACGCTAATTTTGAACTACAGATCGTCGGTCGTGTTCTCGAAATATAATCCCCTTTACTTTTTAACCACCTACTTAGCTTATGTTACCTAGATCCGATATAAGATATAAGGAAATTGAATAGCGACCCAATGCTTTCACTAGTTCAGCTCAGGTTTTATACGTTCCCCTCTCGGTCATTAGTAATGCCGTTTAATCTTTCGTCAACTTTTCGATGAAAAAATTTGTTACTGTGGGTATTGATATTTTTACTATTAGAAACGTTTCACAAACCAGTCGCATTTTTTTTAAACCGATATTAGAATTATTAGCGATACAGATTAAAGAAAGGGTGCCGTTATGTTATTCCACAGAGCTTCAACCGGATGGCGGTGAAGGTTTACATAACCCTGGCAGTGTTCCTCACCTTCGCGAGCATTCTCGTCTCTCTGCTGTTGTACGTGCGAAAGACCACGAGACGCCTGCGTCAAAGCGTCGAAGAACCAGAAGTGGAGGGACAGGAGGAGGACAAATCGACTTTGTTGGGCGTCGAAAGCCAGGAAATCGAGGAAAAAGAGTAATCGTGATTCAACCATGGGAGAGCCACGTAGCTCGTAAGATTCGCATATTTTTACAACGTGTACGTCAGTTTAGATTTAGATACTTCGCGTGAAACACCGAACGAACGATCATCGAGATGTTGGGAATACCGGTTAATATTTTTCGGGTTCGTTTAATCGAGCGTTGAAAGCCCCGTTTTAAGGAATTGACTGATCGAATAATTATCGTTCTCTTCTTATCGTTTGTTTCGTTGCTATTTTGCTTACTTGGTTATAGTGGTTCGTGGAGAATCAAGCTCGGTGATATCTTAACAAACGTAAAATTTTCTAAACGCGAGTCACGTAATTCCTACCAAGGATTTATTTCTCATAGGAAATAATTCCAGCTAAAAATCGTTAATATCGTGGAACATTTTAAAATTCGCGATATTTCCTGAAATACCCTAGCGATGTTTTTGTCTTATAATTTGTATATACCTAGACGTGAAAAGTGAATTTTCATTGATTCCGATATGCTCGATCTATGCGGAGAAGATGGTTCGAAAGATAGTAGCCAGCTTTCGAAGGTTGGCTAGATGGACATTTTTCCTCGGTATACCTTCTTCTTTCTGCAAATACAATTGAGACGTAACGCGTAAGAACGACTGAAAAGAACGACGCGGCTTTCGCGTGTTCACAGTCTTATCCTATTGCTAGGTTGCGCTAGCGTGTTGTGGTCCGATTAATTTTCGCCGAATTTTGTCTGACACTGCAGACTACTTACGATCATTGACTCGCGATGATAGTCTTCGAAATGTTTCTATTATATAATTTATAAAGACGTAGAATACTTTTTCGAAAGTTATTTTCATCGTTACTGATTCTACTCGATACTTTTTTCTATTTCACATGTATGTATATCGATACATATACGATATTGATATTAATATGCTTGTGTCTATATTATATTTTATTCGTGCCGTGACATCCTGCTGGATATAAAGCAATTCCTCGAAAAAAAGAAACAGGTGAATTTTGTACGAGACAAATAGTTACATTCGATAGTTTATAGCGTCTTTGTGCGCTTAGTGATGATTTTTTTTACTTCTAACGATTGTGTCCTTATTTTCTACCATCTTTTCAACATGAGTAGGTAAGTAACGATTCTCAACCATATTATGTCTTTAATACTATAAGTTAGGCAATTTTTTCAAGTACTTACTTATGTGTTTATGAATGTTATTCGTAAGCAAATAAAAGCATTGTCATTCGATTAGTCTGGATGTGACATTTGGAGCAAGATGGGGACATTTCCATGAACGATCATTTTTAGATAATATGGACGTACAGGAGAAAAACAGAGCGACAAAGTTGGATCGAAGAATCTATGCGGAGAACCGTTGAAGCGATTGTACAAAAAAATGGGCTATCGTAAAGCAATTCTGGTCTTTAATATTCCTAAAACTACATTGGAGAAGAGGTTGGCTCTCTAACGAAAAAATTCTCAACAGACGTTGAAGACAATTTTGGACCTTTCTCGATTGTGTTTTTCGATCGAACGAGAGCAAGAGTTAGTAATTCTTTCTGCTTAAATCTTTGTTACTTTCCCTACGGGATTACAATGTTCTGTTTCCACACAAATACCACACACTACCATTGTACATATAGTACATATGATACCACCATACAGTATTACGAAATGTAGTAAAATCCATATATATATATATATATATACATATATACACATGTAAGATCATAACTGGAACATACATATACGATCACAACCCATACACACGTTACACATATAATAAAGAAAAATTAGTATTTTATTTAAATGAAACGGGCCTACCATTTGGTCTAACAACAATCGATATATACAAATAGATGCGTACTATTTTTCCCCGTCACTAGGGCATTGTCGCTACTTTCAAAATTATATTTTTCTATCTTTTTTGTTAAGTTTTGGAAGTTTATTTTAACATGTTTCGATAAACAGGCATTGATATCATATATGATATTTTTTGTAGATACAACATCAATAAATCTAGTATTCTAGAGCAATTTTGTTTTAGCATTTCCATCTTGCCCCAACTTCCCATGCATGAAGTAAAAACGACATTCAAACTACTCATTTTTTCTCTTAAATCGAGACGTTATCTTTCATTGGATAATTCTTCGATATTTCAATATATTATAATATCTGGTACGACGAGTCGATTAATTTAAAACGACAAATTTATAATTACCAAACATAGTACATAATTAATATGTACTTGGTCGGACCATGACGTGTTAGATGCATCTTTTTTGGAATGATATGATCAAATTTCTATCGACAGAATTTCAAAATCGTGGAAACGTCCGAGAAACGTCGTTCGAACGAGAATTTTTCTTCGACGACGGAAGGACTCCATTTGATTACCAGTATGTAGATACTTCCTGGCTATTCTATTACATTAGTGAATCGCACGGAAGCTAATCTCACAATATCAGGAAGTTCTAATGATTTTTTACAAAGCATCTTGCATATCCCCTGTACGTGTCGAGAGTCGTAAATTTATCAGAGAATTTTCGAGCTCTTTCCTACAAAAGAGCTACTAAAGAAACAAATCTATCTATATATATATAAGTGAAAAACAAAGTTACGTACCTCGATGACCGATTAAGGAGACAGTTTCTAAAAAACAGATGAACGACGGAATCGTTAGAGAAACGAGCAATCTTTCTATACTATTTGTTTCGCTTATCTATCACGATCGACCGAACACGTATATTTTATTAGAGAAAGTGAAATTAAACGTTTGGTCATCTCCGTAGCGGATTTCAAATGAAATTAACCTGAGCATATATAAATATGTCATCTCGAAAGTAAGAACTTGTTTAAGGGTTTTATAAAAGCGAAGTAGAAAATGTAGTAGAAAGATCGTAGGGTCTTGCGATTATCGGAAATTCCGACTGAGACAGTCTGATAATTTGCAAGTGATTTTCCAGTTGACATTTCCGACATATACTTCGACATGTTACACCTTTAAAAATCAATCGATATTAACGACAGACGCGTCGAAACGAATGTCAAACGTTAATGTCGGCGGTCTCCTTAATTCGGTCACACTATGTATTTGCTAAACTTTCTACACTGTGCATACAGTACACAATACGCTCCTGTATATGGCCGTAAAATATTACAAATATCTGGCCGATTTTCTTCGAATGTCGTTAAGAATCGCACCTTGAAATTTCCTAGCACCGATGTGCTTCGAAAATATGTCGCTTCATCTACGATCGCTATAAACTTACTGTTATGGGAGATTGAAAATTAATTTTATTCCTCGATTCGCTTCAATTTGCGTTCGAACAAAACATCAAGAGGATCGTAGCTTCGAAACGTACATCAGAAGCAATCTTAGAAAATCATGTATATCATTTACGTTCAATATTTTATTTCTTTATTTCATTGTACGATACAGTGAGTAACGTTCTCGATTTACTTCTCTTCGTCCCGGTTCGTAATGCGAGTTGAATGTTTCGTTAAAGACGGCCTGTAATATTACCCGAGAATTTCCCTTCACCCACATATAATATAAATTATAGCGATCAACTCGTTTAAAGATTTCTTTCCGTATTTTTATTTGGTACTTATTTAATCACTAACACGTTCAGATATCTTCCATGTATTACGAAAGACAGCTTCGTAACGAGAAAAACTGTTGTATTAATTTAAAACGAAAAACACGTGTGCTAGGTGCGTAAAAATTGCGTAAGAAGACTGTACGTAGTTTCAAGCGCATATTTTCTAGGTATATTCATATTTTAATGAATATATCAGGTAATATTGGAAGTAGCGAGTTAAAATCACCAGCTACTAATTACTCTTTGTCATCGTGGATGATTAACGATTGATCGAATTGTCTCGCAAATTGCGTTATTCGATATTAATATTAACGAAGAAACTGCGTTTTTAGCGTTATACATTTTCCCTAAGGGTGTAAAGACTTTCATTAGTGAAATGTATTTCTATGTGTAATTAAATAGCGATGGCCGCAAAACGACATCCTTAACAAAATTTAGGAGACAATCGAACGCAATGTTTTTCACGCCAATTTTTCTGCGATCTTTACAAAGAACGTCGTTCAGTATTTTTAGAGCAATACGCAGAGCGTAAAAAGTTAGTCGTTATTTAAGAAATTAATTTGTACATTTAAACGCGTTTCGATTAAATGATACTAGCTGTTAATAATTTAACGATACAAGCTCAAATAATTACAAATGTTAAGCGACTAATCTACAGAAATTACTACGTTCAGGTTTTATTTAACAGATACACATTGTCTACGTTTCTTTTTTAAATACGTAACGTATATGTATACCGTACTGTTATATCTACGAAATCGCTACATTCTTTTAGATATCTTTAATATTAAATATTTTATATTAAATATTTTAGATATTTTAAGTTTTGCAATGCTTCCGAGTGCTTGTGAATAACGTAAACTGTTGAATAATTTTCCTCGACTAAAATTCATCCGAAAAGAAGCTTACAATTGTTGCTAACGAAGAAATAAAGTTTTTGAAATCTGCGAAGAGATTATTAAATTCTGGAGGACTTTATAAAACCTGTTGCTCAGTTAACATTATTTTATCGCGAGGAACAACATCAAGATTTATGAAGAAACGAGTGCAGTCGCCTTTAATAGGTGCAGGAAAGGCCAGTAACAGTAGTTACTAATTACCTAACAAGGAAAACATTTTATTCGTTGAGATGAATGTACAGAATGATGTGTTGTGCGTTGTATAAACCTGTGTTATGTGTAATTAAACACAATCATGCGATATGATCGATTATTTGATACTGGTACACTAGTATACTAGAAAACGATCTTGTAAGATTTCACCAGTAGAAAATGATGACATGCGAACAGTGAACGTTCGCCATTTTCTCTGTGTCGCTTTTATTGTATTTTTTCGAATGCAATTGACTGATTTGTTAAGGATTTTGTGAAAAAGGCAAATTCGAACTCGCTCGATCACGGCGAATCGGTTGTCGACGTTCCTTCGTTCTCGAACCAATGAACACGCAAATAGTAAGTACACGTGCAATTCCGTACAAAGAAAATGAGAAAATAGAGAGCGAGAGAGAGAGAGAGAGAACGAGAGAGAGCGAGAGAGAGAGAGAGAGAGAGAGAGAGAGAAAGACAGAAAAATGTTTGATGCGTTTTCAAAGAAATAAAGAACAAAGAAGTATGAGAATAAGGGACTTATAAGTGACACAATAGTGCTGTAGCTGAGAAGAAAGAGACGGTTATAGTTTCTATTTTGAAGATTATATTTTTTTAACTTCATTCATTTTTGACTTCCACATACATGTATTTATATATATACATATAATTGTATATACATATTCGCATACCTATTATATACACGTATAAATATAAATAAATAAATATATATACAGTAAATGATAAGTGTTAAGTGGATAATGAGATATTGTATATATATATACAGAAAACACACGTGTGTGTTCGAAAAGGAGGTCGTATAACGCATGATATCGTGAACGTCCTTTCCGTAATAATATGTATATGTGTGGAGTCGTACAATTAAGCGTATCGCGAATATCGTTTGTACGAATACACTACATTCTGAGATAGCAATCGGAAAGAAGATAGGAAATGCGCTTTCCAGAAGGAATTACTTACACGAGACGAACAATTAAGGGGCTTTCTAGAAGAAAATGTCTTTGGACCATTTTTTACGGTATCTTGTTCTATTTTCGAAACGGTATTCTTATAACCAGCAAATAAAATACTGTATATTTTATCGAAACAACAATTTTTGGTAAAAGCTGTAATATTTCATTTATTCGTAATGGAGATTTTTAGTCGGCCCAATTCCACGAACTTCGCGGGCCAGCTTCGATTTCTATTTCTGTTTGAGAAATTCAAACATTCGTTAGTCGCAAACTATTCGTTTTGAGAAATGTAATTTTTATCAATTCGCCGACGTCATTTCTTAGTTTGAAGCGGAATTTTTGTGCCGACAGGTCGTCGCAGCGTGACGCTTAACGATTCGGAAGACATCGATCGCGTTACTTTACAAACTCAAAGCGATCTACTCTTTGATCTATCGACGTTCAAGTAGGAAGTCAACTTATCGACTTAATTAATACCACAAACGTTAAAAGTGTATCGACTTCTCACGGTAAGAGGGTGTTGCGTTCATTCATCAATACCAATATTAAATATCGAAAACGGAACGATGAAAAGATGTGACCGAACGATTAAACGATTTAATAGGCGAAAGAATTCTGCGTATGTACATATACTATTAACATTGTACGTCTCGGGAATCACGACATAGATCATCATTGATCGTGATACGTTTACTATTGGAGAATTGACTTGTTAATTCGACTTGAAAATGATATAGCTCGCGCCGAATTAGGGCCTATAAATGTATACAATCAAATAAAAGATGCGGAATAATTATCAAATTTTGATTTATTTTACTGTAACATTAAAAGTACCAAACTCGTCATCTTGATAGGTTTTAGATTTTTTCCTACCCCGTGACCCATTTCTCGTCTATTTTATTATTTTTCCTACTTTTAAAAACATATGTATTTCTTTAAATTCCTAATTTTGTATTCCTTTTTAATTTACCTACTGATCAGTATCGCCGGTTCATCGCCGGTTCACTGGTAGATGCGGCACTATGCCCAAAATAGTATTTTGCCAAGCTAATATCACTGATACCATTAGTACCATCTTTTCACCGCTAGATGACTATAGTATCGTACAGTTTATGTTTTGATAAAATTCTCGCAACAGACAATTGCGAAACATTTGGACAAGAACCCTAGGTACGGTTATCAAACTAACCTTCGGATAAACATAGAATCACACCCAACAACGCAATCCTGGCAGAAGCTGAGATTCCATTACTTAAGAGGCAGAATCGAATATCTCTATGGTAAATACACTCGGAAAACATTGAACAACCTAACCACTCCTATGGCAGAATACATTCAAGAATACATAGAACTGGAGGAAACTGTCTTATACAACATCCAACTCAACAAGAAGAGGAGAATAATCGTGAAAATCTGCTGAGAAGGATCGAACATACGGATAAAGTATAATACCGTTCGTGCCACCCTGATGTATCTGAATATGTATCCAATATATTTGAAAATAATTACACCGTACAACGCACTTAGGTGAATATATACAGTTTACTTGACCAAACTATTTAAAATTCTCCATGTACAAAATTCATAGACATAATAAATTTATTACTTTTTTCTTACGTACGTACCTTTGCAGATGGTTCCAAAGCACTACGGCCAAATCCCACAGAGGCAATCATCGTCCGCCATGAAATTTGCAACTGCAGTTCACGAATGGAAGACAACGAACTGCAAATTTTCTGGATACTAGCACACGTGGGTGTTCCTGAAAACAAAGAAACAGGCCAACCAGCCAAAGGAGCCGCGATCAAGCAACCAGACAGTATGGAGAAGTTACCTCTTACAGATTTCTACGGTGTGTTGAAATATAAAATATGGAACGATTCGGAAGACAAATTGAATACTTCACTGTCTTCTTTAAATCAGGCAGAATATCTTGGTTTATCGATCTATATTAAATTGCATAATATGGGACTATTGGTTGTATACTAACTTTATGAAGAAAATGACGCACAGATTGTACAAGAAAAGGCCTCGCATCCGCTCAAATAATGGAATCGTTTATACAAAGTCTTGATATACCAGCCATTAGAATAGTAAAAGATCGTTTTAAAGCAAATGATAAAGTATATAGCAATACATTGTTATATTACATGTTATTTCTCTTCTTTTAATTGTAACAGTATCAATATATATCGCATAAATGTATCAAGCTTATACACGTAGGATGATCAAAGTTCAAATAATAAAATGAAAGTTTCGATCAACTTTTCATTTCCGAGAAAGGTTAATTACAAATGTATATAAAAATAATACACGATAGTAACGAATACACAAGTAACAAATACACGAAATGTATGTACATTTAGAGATTTGCAAATTCTATCGAATAGATCGAAGCACTCACATGAATAATATTTAATTTCGCGCAAACTACACTTGAAACTATGATTAAAGTCGAAAGTGAACAGTTGAAAGTGGAAAGTTTGAAATGCATACGCGCGTAAAATGCTCAAACGTGTTAATGTAAGAAATTTATACTTATACGTACTTATACGTGCACACGTATGTATGTTTTTATATGGGCATGGAGCGATTAGTTCCACCTATTAGCTGTTAGATGGTATCCCATGTTCATCGAAGAAACTACGGCCATGGTGGAACGACTTTTAAAACTCGTCTAAGTACATGATCTTGCTATGGATAAAGTACAAAATAGTCATGACATGTAACGCATTTTCGTGTCCCACGTTTGAGTGTCATCCGATATGTATCTTTGTATAAAATGTGCGCGGAATGATCTTAAATAAAGATTACAACGTCGATCGAACGACGAAATATACAAATATATATTACGATAGTAAATTATAATCGATATACATACATAATTTCTTCCGATCGATCTATCGTATCGTAGAAGTGTCAGTTTTAGGTGGGGAGCACAGGACGAAGAAGCGTAAACGTTTCATCTAGAAGTTATCAGGTAAAGAATACAATCAATAGCTTTTACCTTTGTTTTCATATTGTCGAATTCGTCTATGATTAGAACAACGAGCATTATTTAGAAGAGTTATTATATAGACAAGTATGTATATCCAATCCGATCACTAAAGTTGGTTAAGAGTAAATATACGTACGCATAACTTCCATATACAATGGCTGACAAGAGTATTTCAAATTAAAATACTTACCGTAGAAAACTTTTATGTATATTATATGTATCATGTAAAGTATTTTGGCACTGCAATGACTCAGTAATGAGACACGACTATTAGTGGTTACAAATTTAGATCTGAAAATGTACAATGTATAAAAGTTACAAGATATCTACTGCAAATATATATTTACTAGAAAGTTAATATGCGGTATGAACAGCCATTTTAAACACGCAACGAGCGTTAAAGATGGCCCCACTAAGTGTCGAAGTTTATTAATGTAATGGGCAATTGACCGTTTAAATATTTGTTTTGTCTGTACGAATATTTACTTGCACTAAATATCTACATACATTTTCAAATTGGTTTCAAATATCACCATTATCATAATATCGGATCTAATTCGTAAAAGGTTTCTATATATATATATATATATATATATAAGTCTTCTAAATTTCGATGTTCTAGTTTCATAGAGACTAGAGTTTGTTAGAATTTTTTTTTTATTGTTATTAAAATTCCAAGTTTTTATAGAATCTGATATTTCGTTATCTCAAATTTCCTAAACAACCATCACTGTTTCACGGAACAAATTATAATAACCTATATTTTGTTAAAGGTTTTTCATTCGTTCCTCTTCTTCCTGTAACCTGGAAAGGACTTTAAAGATGCTTGAAAACCAAGAACGTAAGTAATTTTGTATTTTGTATTTTCAATATTACTATTTCGCATGTATTTCACATTGAGTACTATCAATTAAAAAGTAGAATCTGATCGAAGATAGAAATTTCTCAATTTATGTACTCGGTTACAAATAATCCAGGTGGGTGAGTCGATAGGGGATAGATTTATATATTCCGTGCCGCGAGAACCAGTCGACAAATTATCCATGATAAACCGTGAAACGCACGGAAGAAACGGCCGGGTCTCGGCAATGAAGCATATTGTTGCAAATTTGCCAATCTAAAAGGAGATTTATTATTCCTGTCCCGTGCAATGCAAAGGTTCGTTATTATGGTCTGTCTATGGACTAGTTTATTTATAGATATTGCTCAAGAGATATCCATTCTGTCCTGACAAGATATTGCGCAAAGCTTAACACGTTACTTCTGTATATTCGCTTCAGGTTTGTCGTTTCACCAATCACCTACGCAACGACCGACCACTATAGTTCTTTCCAATCTCCGAGATGTTACCAAAGCAGAACCAAAACAGAATTTTAAACTAATTCCTCTCTTACGAAGGTCGACCTGTGGCGTTATTTCTCCGGTTACGATCGCGATCTTCTCTATTTCCACGACAATCTATAATCGTTCTATTCACAACTACATATGTACGCGTATCCGCATCGATTACCACCTATAGCTTTGTTTTCCACGGATTGCGTTCGACAAACGAATAAAAACATGTATATTTTCGTAGGAATCACGTATGAGGATTCGTTTACGTCGAATTGTATTGTCCGATCCCGGGTTAAGCGTTTATCTGCATACGGCATACGTTTAATTCACGAACGCGAGGACGAATGGGAACGCGGTTTGACGCTAAAGCCGCAAAAAAATAAAAAACGAATAGTCGCCAGTAAATAAATATCTATTATTCGGGTTTCAATACGTTTGTAGGAGAAGGAGGCGATATCGTTTTGTATTTAAGCGTTTCTTTCGAAAACTAATATACCCCTTATATGTTGCCAATACCATTATTTTCACGTTCCGTGTTCATTTGCGGCATAGAAATAATTTCCCTGTTCATTCGCGGCGAACGTTGTCGGGGTAAAGAATTCAACTATCGGATAGCAACTTTTCCAATTAATCTACGCCGTTGAAAAAGTGTAATAAAGAACGTAAGCAGATAACACACACACAACTTGTCCAATGTCTGGTTCTTTTACAAAGTACGATAATTCGGCTTGTTCTTATCGCGAATAATACATTTCGAATGCACGATACCGGCTGGTCGACGTGTTAACAGTTTAAACTCGATGCCTGCAATGTTATTAACGCCGATATGATAGAAACTTTTGGTAATAACGAACTTGCCAAGTTATCGTCGGCATAATGGCGGTATCGATGTAATACCTTGCTATAATAATCGTTAAAAACGCAATTTCTTCGCATAAAATTCTAAAATTCCAAAATTCGTCCTTCGCGACTATGATCCGTTGCTTTTCTAGGTTTGAACGGTGAAAGTCAAAGGCCGAGCATAAATCTAGAAGTCCTAATAACTTCTTGCGCGCTCCCCTTTCGGTGATGGCACGCTTTTGATGAATTAACTGCCTGGGGTAAACTCGTATTTAAATGGAAATAATTCGTGGGATTATCGTTGTCCCTTGTCGTTATTACTTTACCGAAGACGATTAAATATTATTGGATAAGTAATTCGTTTGGTAATCGGTTTTTAAGTAGCGGATGGTGATAACTTAATTCGCGAGTAGGGTTCACAAATTTTAATTAGCTCGTCTACATCTTTACTTTCGCGTTAATAATTGGTTCGTTTGTGATAAATAATTTTTGTTTATTTCATGAAAATGTTAGGAATGGGATTCGCGCGTGTACAGGTGTAAGCATTATAACCGTTTTCAGGATATAAAGTTAGGGATATTATTACAACTTAAATAATTTGCACAGGTTGTTCTCTTAATTTTTTAATAGTTCTTTCAGTTACTTTTTATCGTACAATATCTGCTTGATTTCACATACAAGAATGAACGAATTAAAGACTCGTTATTTACACGTGATGGAATATAATTTTAAATATAAAAGTTTAAATGTGTAAAATTGGATTCTCTCAACCACATCGGCTTTAAACCAGTTGGTTATTGATTTACATATATAGGAGGAAGCCTGACAGTGACGGAAACCAGATCGTAACGCTTCAGTTGATTTATTAGTCTTTCCAAGGCCTGCCTAATTTCATTGCTAATTTTAGACTCGCTCTTAGACGTATCGTTTGCGACATTGATGAAGCTTTTTATCCCGCAAGGTTAGCTTTCTTCCTAGAGTCGTTTATCGTAGCATTGAAATTCTCAAATTTTCAAAAGAAATAAATTTGTGATTAGGAAAAATTTCTAGTTCTTTTCAATTAGAGGTTAAGCGCATTGATATTTTATTTGAATCACAACATGTACGTGAATGATTCGCAAATATAATATACATATATAATAATTTCTTTAATCGTGTTTCCGATGTAATGAAAATTAGGCGAATATAATTTCTCCTTTTGATACGATTACAACTTTTGTCTACAAGAGATCCATCGAAGCAGCGCAATTCCGAATTTTATTCTAAGGTCTTACCATTCGAGTTTACTTGTTGATTCCAACGCACTCACACACCTGAAACTTTGCTCACCTTTATTTTCTCAAAGTAAGAGAGCACGAGGGCCAGGTAAAAAGCAAATTTCAGGCGTAAGAGTACTGTCGAGGATGCTTGATTTCCACCTAGATATTTATCGCGTACTTCGCCCTGCCTACCCTCGTAAATCAACTATTTTCAAGGAAACGTTAGCTTTCATACGCTTTATCGAATTTCTGGCGATACTTTGAAAACGGTCCATTCCGATATAGTATTGCTTTCAAAAATTTCGCCGTTTCAAACTCTTTTAATCTTAAAAACCGATTCGCGTCTCTCGCGTGTAATATTTATAATAAACATATGAAACGTAACTCGTTGATCACAGATCTTTTTTTTTTTGCATATGAAAACGGTATAGCTTTTGTTAAAAAAACACGAATGGATTCTTCGTTCCTGTACATATTTGTATATCGCTTCGCGAGCCAATACAAGAAATATTCTTCTCGTTATACAACGAACTTTACGACTCGATTTATCACTAGATACGGTGGACTTTAGTATAGTTTGGACGTTTTCCAGTCGATGGCAGTTTTTCAATGCCAAGGCTCAACTGGAGATTGTTATTGTTCGTTATTCGTCGACTATGATGGATCCATAGGCCGAAGGAAGAAATGACACGCTGCGACGATAGACTGTCACGGACACACCTGAAACTTTGCTCACCCAGAAGGAAATGTACGGGCAGAGCAAAGAGTCAGGCCCGACCGTAACGTTCGAATTTTACACTGCTGGGACATGCTCGAGTGTTTCTTCTTTCCGTTGTCACGTTGCTCCGGGCGAGGAACTCGCTACCTCTTCTCCGATTTTACGCAATAGCGCCGCCACGAGGACACTGGAAAATAGAGGCGCAGAGATTCTTCATCGAGAGTGTAGTAGATCCGAGGGAATGAGTTACCGGTAAGACAGGGACCTCGAGAGCCATCAGAAATTGCGGAAAAATAGGCTGTCGGATAGTGAAGGAGAGAATCGAAGGGAAAGAAAGAAGTGAAGAGCGCGGAGAGAACTGTGCGAAGCTCCGCACTCAGCAGTGGCAGCCAAGGAATCAAGACCGTACCCATGTTTCATCCTACTATTCGCTCTTTCTCCCTTTGCCTCGAGAGACGACACTCGAATCTCCATTGTTCGTGGTTCGGCTGAAACAGAATTGAAAAGACGCGTGATATTTACCAATAGATTCCATTCAGGCCGCAAATAATTCATAGGGTGACGGGGTCAACGAACGGATTTTAGCAGAACGGACTCTAATCGTTTTTAAGACTTTTTTAAGGAGTTCATTGTGTTTGAAACGGTGAACTCGATGATCGATAAAACGGTGGCCCGAATGTTTGATCGTGATATTATCGCGTTATCGCTGGAAATAGTTACCAAGTTTACAAAGAGTTTAGTCTTTCTATGTCTTTTCGAATCGAAATCAATCGTAACTTTTATTCTTAATCGAGCGTTCGATCGTAAAATTTAACGAGTCAGCAGCTTGAAGTAATCAGATTTTCGACAAACGCTTCTTTTCGATAAGACGATGTAAAAACATTGTAACTGTTCTGTTTCTCGAGTGTGTCGGAATCATACGTAATCCCATCGTTACATACACTTTGCTAAATACCTGATCGACCGTGAGCGAGGGCCCCTAAACCGATTACCACAGTTTATGCCGTGCCGTAGTAACAGCCACCCATATAAGTGCGCCTAACAGCAACTTAAATGTATCCGAAAGCCTGTTAAAGATCAATCTAATTTCAAATTAATCGATGGTTATTAATCTTCCACTTTCGCGACGATGGGAATCTCCACGGGAAAGTAATTAGCAATTTACGTTGCAACTTCAGAGTTTGAACATTTGATAAAACATCTTCGCACCGGGTTTAGAGAAGATAGAAATTTTATTTAAAATTTTGGGACTACGATACTTACATGTATATGTATATGTGTATTATTGTTATTATTATTATTATTATTATTATTATTATTATTATTATTATTATTATTATTATTATTATTATATATAGCGATTCCTATCTCTCGTATTCGTTCGATATTTACGGCCTGTTATTCGTGAAAATCGGATTTAAATGCTTCTTGGAACGTAAAAAGACATTCACGACATCATGACTCACCGCAGTGCTAATGAGATTTCAAAATGTTTTGTACGACGCGCGTAACGTATTCGTAAGACGTTTTTGTAGCAGGTATTGAAATAATTCGGTGAGTCACCGTATAACTCTAATTTGCCAAGTGTCCACGTTATAAAGGGTTTTCGATCTTGCGTGTTCCTGCCCTTCCGTTGCTCCATCCGTATAGGTCAAACCTGACCGATTCCACGCTCCATCCCGAAGAGATAGAGTGGTCAATTTCCACGCACCCACCAGATTTCAGGAAGTTGGTATTTTTCTATGTATACAGAGATATATATCTGATGGTTATTTGGTGTCCGTGGCAGCCTGGAAGATGGTAGCACGAAAGAGAGATTCGCCATCTGCAGACGCAGTTTGTCAGAGGGCAAACTCGGTGTCCAGCAGCGGAGAGTATAGCGTTACGGTTGGATGTCAGTGACCGGAGCATAAACCCAAGATAGTTTCACCATTACATCGACGGTCTTCCTTCTTGGCTTGGCTCCTTTCTGTCGGCCTGTACCATCCGCACAGCCACGCACGGTCGCTCGTTCGTCGTGGCCGCAACACCTGAGTGTCTCCAGTTGCAAATGCACGCGTCAATAAGCTGCTTTCCACCTCGAGGATTCCCTCGATCGAACCAAAGATTCGTTTCCTCGATCCGGTACGATTCGTCGTTCAGTTCGATCGAAGCCACTTGAAACTCGAATGGAAACCCTTTTTACCGATCGTAACGATCGATCGGTCGATTAATCGTTGGTTTCGTTCTACGGTTACTCTGGTGCTGTTCCAAGAAAGAAATTCCCGTTTTGAATTTAGTTAGGTTCGCGATTTTCATTAGCGCGATCAGAGCCTCTAAACGAGAGATTAGCCAGCCACGCGATGACTTACTCCCTTCGTTGCAACTGTCGTTGAATGTTTAATCGAATGGTTGATGGAAATTCGTTAGCTTAGGCGTCGTGATTACTATCTGTATTTTTCGAAAATTAAGTTCGAGTTCAGATGATATCGATTCGGGATAAAAACAACGATCGTCCGATTAGACCCTTCTTCGATTCGTTGATTAGCGATGTGACAAAAACCAAAGGATTGTGATAAAAGATGGGAGAAAACTTGCGAATTCGAAACATTGCTTTTACGAGGCGCCCAGAGTGCATATGGAATAATAATATTAATAACACGCAAGTGAATCGAATTGTGTAATTGATGGTGTAAAAAGATCCAAGCCAGCTTGTTTCCGATTACGTGTAACATGGTAGGAGATTCGATCCAACCGTATCTTGTGTAATTGGCACACTTTACATCACCTCCGTACTAATATCTTCTCACGCGTACTAATAAGGATCATATAAAATTACGTTCGTGAAATTCTATAGAGAAACTAATACGTTCGATGTTTTTATTAACTCGAAGAACCTGTCTCTTCTTCACAGGTTATATAACATTCTAAATCATGGAAATTCGGTAAATTAGAAATACGGAATAGAAAGCCTAACTTTTGATAAAGGAGAGGAAACTTGTATCGGTACTAACTAATGAACGACGAATCTAATTGAAATCGTCATAATCGCCTATAATCGAACGGTACCAGTTGAGAGTTAACGTGAAACAACAATTCATTTCTTCTTACCTGTTACGATACAAACAATTGTCTCTGAATAGCGACGTGCGATAGAGTATCGTTACGTTTATGCTACCCAAATATTTGTTAGGAATTTAGCGTGTTAATCGATTTGACGAGCAGTGGTCATAAAATTGAGTTTCGCCTCGGACGAGGTCGGCGACAACGTCGGCGATCGGGAAGAAACGAAGCTATGGTCGATCGATAGACGCCGAATTGTTGAGCCCCGTGCATCATAAAGGCTAACGACCGCAGGCAGTTTGGCAGCGTTTGTGAAAGCGGTCTTTCTTCGAAGTAATGCAGCCGGAATCATGCGATGACGAGAGCGATTATGAACGTGCCAGCGAACGAAGGGAGACAGAGTGCGCTTTCATTTGGTATGCGTGGATGCGTGTTTGCGTGAACGAACGGGGATCAGGGTGAATCAGGAGGAGAGTCTGAATGACAGCAAAACGACGAGAGGAAAGAATAAACGTCAAAACGGAGAAGAGAAAGCTGAGACAAAAATAGAAAAATAAAAGAGAGCGTTTGTGTTTTCGAGTATGTCGTAAATAGACTTGAATCTGAGTTTGGCGTGCTTTATATTGTATAAAAAGTTGCAACGATACAAAGGGAAAGAAAAGATGGGACGGGGAGATAGAAATGGCAATAGGGAAGAACGCATATACGGTTAAAAATGTCACGTCGGATGCTGTGAAGTGACTTCGTTGCCACTTTATCTGGTTGCCTCTGTCCATAACCAGACGCCGCGCCGTGAAGTGTTTATATATATACGAAATGTGACAGGAAGCTGGAAAAAAAAGACGAACAAGGAAAAAACTAGCGAAAAGGGGGTCAGTAGCGGCGCCACTGGCAGCAGCACGGAAGGGTTTAAGCAAACATTCGTAATTACACGATCGTTTAATATGTATGGGACTTCCGCGTGACCGTTTAACGCACGCGTAGCTTCCAAAAGCGGGAGTCTGAATACACGGCCATCAACGAAAGATGAACTATGGAACTTTCGATACTACCGAAGAAGAACGAAAATGGATTAAAAATCGTGGAATTAATCGAACAGCGTGAAACAGATCGTACAAATTACGCTGTTGCAAGATAAAAGACAAATTGTTTCCTTCGATGGTGGAGCGATTACTTCTGGGTGCGTTAAGCGGTGTAACGAAATAGAAATGTCGGAAGGGAGGAAACGAATAACGTATCCAGAGACGAATCCGGTTTAATCCATGAAATACTAACGATACGTAATTTTTTCTCAGTCGATCTTTATCGAATTCTGCTTCTTCGTTCTATATGCTGTAAGATTCGTCGACGAAGAACCTGGAAGGAAAGCTCTATTTTCTTTCATATATTCATCGATCTTTTTGCGACAAAATCTAGTCCCAGTAAATGCTCTTCGTTGAATCGATTATCTCATAGACTGTTCGTAGAGAGGTGCGAATGATGTCTGAAACAAGCTGTTAACGGTATAAAAATTGATGTGCTTCGTAATTACACTTATGTAGTACGAGCTGGACGAGATTTATCGACCTCCTCGAGTTTCAAAGAGGACACGCTACTTTCCCAAGGCATTTTTAACGATCGTCGTCGGAACATAAATCATCGTTTTCCCGTGATTTATATATGTTAGCGTCTCGTGTCACGGAGGCGTGGCATAGGCGTGAATCCCCGTAGTGTCTGCTTCTAATTTAATTTATTACATCAGCCCATCAGCGATCCATGACGGTATTAAAGATCCTGTAAATTATTCACGTTGGATCGTGCTCGGTAGTATGTAATTCCATTACGGTTGATTATCCGTTCGAATAACTGCTATTCGGTTTAGATGGATATAAAGTTCGTTTGATACTTGTGTATTCAGTGATGTAGCTTACGAAAACTGATATAGGAGCTTCAAGACACCGTTATTATCGTTCTTTTCGAGCGAATTAGGATCAGTCATCGATAGGTTATTGTCGTGTCAGTGCTCGAGGTAATAGAACGATGTGTTTGAAAGCGTGTATTGATCTGTCAGTCTCTCAAAGACAGTATGGCAAGTCAGTTAAATACGATAAATATCTTAAGCTATTATCGACGGCGCGTTTTTACCACGAACTATGATCTTGTTCGAGTCGTATCTTTCGAATTAAATCAAGACGTCGATCTAAGAATTTAACGAGACTAATTTTTATTTTCCCGTTACTTACTTAACGTTGTGCAAATTATACGCTGTTTGAAATACCGAGAAGCGCATCGAACGTAGATCACGTACCATCTTCGATAACAAAGCTAAAAACCTTATTATTCCATGATTTTTAGAGAAACTCGAAGAGAATTGTCTGTATCATTGTGAAAGGCGAATTTCTAGAATTTTGCTACCAGTTTCAAATATGACCATAGAAATAACGAAAAAATAGGTTCTTTGTACGCG